TAAAGGGCAAATTGTAAAGAACGACAACAAAGCCATCTATTTTGTATGGCATGGAATTATGGAACGGCTCTAAATTCAAGATAAGACGGACGAAATTCGTTTCAGATGGTATCAAAGCACGTCAAAGAAAGGCCTCTTTGATGCTCTAAGGGATGTGATATGCGGACGGAGACTTGGAACCTGAAAAATGATTCATATAGCATAACCTCCAATGGTGGAATGGTTCTCATGCATGTTTGGAAGCTAGAAATTCGCGGAAAATCACAAGATCTATAAAAGGAAGAACGATTGAAGGAAGCATGTCCTCTGACCACAAAAAAGAAAAAAAGGAAGCATGTCCACAAGGAAAAGAATCTAAAAAAACAGAAAAAAGAAAAAAGAAAAGAAAAGACACGGTCCTTAACCTAATAATTGATAAGAAAAGAAAGTATCCAGTAATGATGCCACACAAATCTTACTCATTCATGACTATTGCTCTTGCGAAAATCCTATATTTGGCGCCACCTAACTAATGGCCAGAATTTGCACCACCAATCCTTGGCAAAAATGGAAGAGAGAAAAAAAAACATGTCTTCGTAATAAAAAGGAAAAAACGAAAAGAAGAGGGCCGATATCTGGGCTCAATGGAGAAGGCAAGGGAATTCAGATAGCACTCGTCTCTCTTCACCACAAATCAAACCCTCTCCCCATTCAGATTTCCGGTCGGTCGCGCAGTCGAACCCACCGGGAATCTGGATGACGAGGAAGCCGAAGCCCTCTGCAGCTGCAGTGGTCCAGATACCACGCAAAGAAGCCGAAGCCGGCGAAGAGGCAAATTGTGACGATGGCAAACCATCTGACCGCCCCAAGGAACGTGGAAACAATGTTAATAACAACGATGGGACGAAGCCCGTCGCCGAGTGGAAGCTCGCTAGGAAGAAGGCGCTGCTGCAGTTCCGGTGCAAGCTGGAAGACGCGATCCGTGGGGACTACCTCCTGGGACGGTCCTACCGGAGCCTCTCGAGGTCGTCAAGAGAGAACATGAACAACGTGTCCTCGCAGCAGCCGCCGTTGTGGGACATTGCGCTGTGGGGCGTCCCTCTATTGCCCAGCAAGGGGCACGAGGGCACGGACCACGTCCTCACAAACTTCCTGAAGGCACGGGACTACAAGGCCGGCGAGGCTTTTGAGATGCTCCAGGAGACGCTCCGGTGGCGGAGGCAACACATGGTGGATGAGATCGCCGGCGAGCCCCCCTTCGGCCCTGACGAGCCAGTCTCGCAGATGATGTACGTGCGGAGCGTCGATAGGGACGGTCGTCCGCTGTGTTATCACGTGTATGGGATGCTGGAGGACCGAGAGACGTACAAGAGGGCGCTGGGGACGAAAGAGAGGGTCGAGGAGTTCAAGAGGTGGGTCGTGCAACTTATGGAAAAGGTTGTCAGGAGGCTGAGCTTTAAGGACGGAGGGGTCCACTCGCTGATCCAGATCACGGACTTGAAGAACATGCAGTCGCATAGCGCGAAGGAGATGCGGGGCGTGCTCCGGAGCACCTTCCTGACGGTGCAGGATCACTACCCTGAGCTCGTCCACAGACATGTAAGCGAATAACATCCGAAACTAGGTTGATTGCAGTTTGGTTATTTTTCTTGGTGTGGATTTGTTCCTCGCATGGTGATGGAAAGAATACATATTCAAATACCATGTTCCTTGCATACGATCGGTACAATTTAGCAAAGATAAAAGGACTGCAATATTCCTTGGACTTGACTATCTGCATGTAGCTAATGTTAGGCAATGTTCATCAACATCTGCTTCTCTACGAAACATTCAAAGCATTATCAGATTCCGGAGTAAATCATGTCAACGCCGGCGAACTTCATGCGCAGATAATACTAAATGTCCCTCTGTGGTTCTACACGTTCCACTTGCTGCTCTTGCGACTTCTGCGTCAATCCGACAAGCACAAGTTCATCCTCGCGAGACCAGCTAAAGTCACCAAGACCCTTCTCAAGTGAGACCAGTATGCAGACCTTATGAATATCTTCGAGAGTATCTGGCTTTTGTTTGCTGATTTCCAACCCTTGTTAACGCATTGCTGGTGCTGTTGATTGAATGCTGGCTATACCGATCTATAAAGATTCATAGACCCAGAAGATCTGCCCGTGGAATATGGTGGTCTCTTAAGAGAGAATGACGAGGAATTCTCGACACTGGACAAGGTCTCGGAGGTCTTCGTCAGAGGGAACACAACCAAGAGCATTCGAATCCCAATTGCTGAGGTACTTAGCGTATGCTTTTGACATTTTTTCCATGTTGGTCTTTAGTTTCGTTTTGAACTTTTGAAAAATGACTTTAGCATAACTTCAACTTTTGCAAAGTGTAGTCAATAGTTGATACCTCTTATCATCATATTGGAGAACACTCTTTTAACAAAATCCTCGTTTTAATTTATGGAGTTTTAGCTAGCTCGAAACATCTCCGTCTAATTTCCCTATAATTTGATGATGACCCTTATGAATTGTGGATGGATATAGTTGAACATTCGGATATTTAATCAGAAGAAAACAAAAAAGAAAATGTGAGTTTTGTTTTGTCTGAATTCCTTTTCTTCGATAGAAAAAATTCATCCCCATTGCACATTGGTGCTTATCAAATGTGAGTGTGTGCGAGTCGAGTCACGCATACACCCTAGAACATGTTCCTCAATGCTGAGAACATCCCCAAAGAGGTGGGGTGTTGCAAAAGCATTTCATTTTATTTAGCATTTGGCGTTGTATTGTTAATTATTGAAAATTTAATACCTTGAATTCTTAGAACTTTACATAACATATTAGGTTAAAATAATTTGAGAAGGCCAATGAATGAACAATATTGTGGAAGCTACCAGCAGAAGGTATTCATAATGTGAAAGATTTTAAACATAATTGTTGTTACACATGCTTGATGTTTCACATGTCATGAATGTATCATACTATTGTAGGCCGGCGCAACGGTGGTGTGGGACGTGACGGTGGTGGGGTGGGACGTGTCTTACAAGGAGGAGTTCGTACCGGACGACGAGGGCTCGTACAAGGTGCTGCTCCACATGTCGAAGAAGCTGAATAAGAGCGTGAGGAACTCCTACTACATCAACGAGCCCGGCGAGCTCGTCATCACTGTCCGCAACCCCACCTTCAAGAAGAAGAGGGTGCTCTACCGCACCAAGTTCAAGCCCACCGTCCCCATGTACGTCTTCTTCAAGTGATAATGAAAAGGCTACACATACGCAACATGAATGCATGTTAATCACTCATTTATGATCATTGCTAATAACTATTATTTGTATCCCCTGTTATGTCCGGTTCTTTGTGTTGTTTTTAATGACAAAGAAGCCAACGACGGCATGGTAACGATTGGGCCTGTGATATACCCACTGGTCTCATCAATCGGGTAAGATGCGAGCCAATTTGGATAGGTGACCCACCATAGAATTGCTAGAACTTGGTGGTGTGAGAATCGAATGTGTATTATGTGCCTAATCATCACACAATCGAACCCTCAAATCACAAGTAAGACATTTTAGCACTAGACCATCCCCTCTAATCCACACACAAGTCTATTTCTTTGTTTGTTTTTATTTTATTTTATGTATGACCCATTTGAGGTCGCTCGATCTACACATTAGTTAGGATCATGCCCTTTGTCCATGAGATTTCATATTAAGCTGTATATTGGGCCACCTCATTTGACCATATGTGAGATTTACCTCATCCAGCAATGCATACGAGGCATATGTGATACTATTTTCCTTAAGGATTGGGATCGTCTGAATTTAGGAGGGTATAAAGTTACATGGTAAAGTTAGCCTTTGGACCAAAATACCTCATCTATTGAGGAATTTAAACAAGAGACCATGTACCCAAAGAAAACCCCAATTTTCCCCTCTTCCTTCCTCTCTCTATCTTAATCCTAATCAAGCCAAGTTGAGCGTCGTTGCCGAGCCCCCGCCGCCTCTTTGTCGCTGTCGTAGCTCGATCGAACGTTGTCTCGTCACCTCCTCGCCTTCCCATTGTGGCTGACGTCCATCTCAGCCCCTTAAATCGAATTTGCAAGGGGCGGGTCGATGGTTGCAAACATTAAGGGCGTTGCCCGGCAACGCTGGGTTTGGGCTTGGCAACACTGGATATGGTGTAATGAGCCCTGACCCCGTTCCGCTATGAGTCAAATGGAGAGGAGTAACGAGATCGAGAGAGGGATCGGTGCTAGGAGCTCGCGACCGATCAAAGGCAAGCGGGGGGTTTTCATCTGTGCGCGGCGGAGGTCGTCCGTCAGGTCATGCAGACCCTGTTCTCCATCTTCAACAGTACCGCAACAAGTTTGTGGGGCAAGGGCAAAATGGGCTGAGCGAAAGTTGGAAAAAAGGTGGAAGAAAGCAAGAGGAAAAAGAAAAACAAATCTCGTAAAAAAGCAATGTACTTAAATCCAGAGAGCGCTAAATTCAAAGGATCTAAATTTTGGACCCTCGACTAATGGATGGAGTTAACAAAAGGACGCGGCGGCTCTCCATCCAACCAGCACTATATCAGGCATCAAGAATGTCCCAATGGAGTCGTTATAGCTTGAACTTATGACCTCATATTTTCTAACAGAGTCCGCCATTCACTTCTAAAAATAATCGACTAATCGTATTTTAAGTTGAACAAAGCGATTTTCACCGGCATTATATTATAATATGCATTTTTACGATGTTGTTTCGTAGCTAAATGCCAAAAAAAATGTCATGGAGTATAAAGTTTGTTGATATAAAATTGCCAGTTTTTATGTTTTTTGGTCAGATAAAATTGCCAGTTAACTCACATATTTTATCGTAAAAAAATCCCGTTGATCGAGTCGAGATGAAAATTTCTTTGGGGGAGCTAATCGTAAATTCGGAGGGGAAAGCGGGAGAGGGTAATTCAGGACAGTCCAAGAAAGAAGTCTCCCCTGTCTCCCCTGTCTCTCTCTTCCCCCTTCCCAGCAATTTTAAAAATGGTGGAAAGAGGAAAGAACGACATCTCAGGCTCTCTCGTCTCTCTAGGAGGAACCGAGCAGACCTTTCTCTGAGATCTCCTCTCCCTCTCTCTCTCTCTCTCCCTCTCTCTGGTCCCTCACTCAGATCCCCCCAATGGGAGAAACCGACAGGGGAGACAAGACGAGAGCTTGAGACACACACGCACACACTCTCCCGCACGCACACGTTCGCGTTCTCTGCAGCAAGAAGACAATCGGGGAACATGGGAATGGCTCGTTCTCTAGTTGGCCGCACCCTCGCGGCGGCGCTCGCTCTCCTCTTCCTTCTCTCCCTCGCCGCCTCATCTTCGGCCGCACCACCGCCCTCCCGCGGACGAAAGCTGGGGTTTTTCTACACCCGCACCAGAGGACGATGCACTCCTCAGTAACCCCATCTCTCTCTCTCTCTCTCTCTCTGGGTGACTGAGTCGGGCCGAGTCGACCCGCTGCCTCCGGTGGCTGACTCGGGTTTGCTGTTTCTTTCTTCTTCTTCTTTTTTGTTTCTGTCCTTGCGCAGGTACTGGAGCAGCGGGCGAGAGAAGTGGCCGAGGATGGTGCCGAGGAAATCCACGGTGTCGAGGGCGTTCGGGTCGAGGGCGATCGCCGAGCTCTACGGCGGCGATCTGACGGTGTGGGAATCGACGGCCGGGGTCGTCGGCGTGGGGGGCGCGTACGGCAGGCTGGTGAAGCAGGCGAGCGCGGCCCTTCTCAACTCGTACGCCCGGAAAGGGTTCGCCTACTCGGCCTGGGAAGTCAAGACCCTGCTCATCCAGGCCTTGGCCTCGCCGCGAGCCGCCGCCGATCAGGCCGACCAGTTCGCCGTCGCCAACGAAGCCTGTAATTAGCAGCAAATCCTTTCGTTCCTTCTTTCTTGTTCTTTCTATTGAGACTCGAGTAGTAGCCGTAGTCACAGAAATGATTTGCCAGATCAGCATGTGAAAGTTCTAACCTAACTGGTCGGTTGTTTTATCGGTTTTTACTCTAACCAAAGTGGTTCTGTAATTGAATCGTGCGTTCGAATTTACGGTTTAACCAGGAGAGGGGTCACGCGACATCGCGTGATGTTCGCCTGACACGACAGTCACGTGACTTGTCCCGCTCTTTTGGATTACTTTTTTCTGACACTGGCCGACTGCACGATCAGCCAGTGGGAGGCCCGCTCAGATGGAGCCGGCTGCAGGCTGAGCTCGTCTTCGACAAGAATCTAAGACCCTTTGCGATTGGGCGCGCGCGCTTTGATCAGTCAAGCGGTGAGGTGGCGAACGCTAGCAACGTGTCTCTAGTACCCGCGGGAGCCGGCGCCGGCGCCGGAACCCCCCCTTGTTCATGACCGCCTCTAGAGAGGCACGTGATGTTGAGCTCTGCCGCGCAACGTGTCGTGGTGGTGGTCTTTGGGGGGCGTTGGACCAAAGATTTGTGGCTGAGGCGGCGGTTGGTCTTTGGTGGTGGTGGCAGGTCGCAGGCGCCGGAGGCGGCGGCTGTCGTGAAGGAGAGAGAATGACACGGGAGAGTGAATAACATCAAGGTTTGCTAGTTAGGGTTGTGTATGGTTCGCATTTACCAATTTAGACTATCTTAATACATAATTGACCGATCAAAACATCGTACGACAATTGATGGTTACCTGCCGGATGACGACCGATTTTGACTCATAAGAATGTGGTAATAGAACATCTTTGGTTTTATGTTATTTCTAATAATTTGTTTGTCTGAAGATAAATTGCTTTCGGAGAAATTGTTTTCCAACTTTTCAGCATTGACTGACGGAAAACTAAACCATGTACGGAAAACATTTTTCATAGATTGAGAATAACAAATGTAGATTGAGGAAAAACAATTTTCCTTCTGATAATAAATAAATCACTCACTCTTGAAAGTGATTTTTATGGAAAATATTTTCATTTATTATAAAGTTTTCAGTTAAACAAACGCACTAAGAAAATAGTGGAGATATCATCACATTGATTCTAGTTTGGGTGAACCCATTTCGAGCTCAAATCACATATTGTTTTCTAGTACATTTTATTTTTATAAAAAAAAAAGTAATAAGTTGGGCAATAAAGATTAGGCCTAATTTGGTAGGGGTAATCGATTCCAGGGTGAGTGTTAATTCTAGAAATGATTGGTTCCTGGTCCGATCCCGTCAAATCCAATGGAATCGATTGATTAACAAGGAAAGCATGCGAAATGTTAATTTCTAGAATCATATCATCATCACAATCAAAAGCATCGTCACAATCGTTTGCTCTAAAATCATCGTAATAGAAGCAGTGGAGGAGATTAATTAGGAAAGCACACAAAATATTAACAATCCAAAGACGAAAAAAACTTACTCAAGAGTGAAGATTGAGAGTTGATACGAGAGCCGAGGGAGACGTATGAGAGTTAAGTCGCAAAAAGAGTGAGGCGTGAGAGGCAAAGGGGAAAGAGTGAAGAGTGTTGATGTTGAGCGAGACGTGAGGCAAGAAGGAAGGGAGCTGCAACCATATTAGGGTTTTCTAAGAAACTATACATATATCAGTCAGTTTGATTTCTACCCTGGAACCGAGAACCAGACCGATTAGACATCGATTCAAAAAATAGGAATTGGGAACCGGACTGGCATCCCTTGGAACTGCCTAAAACCGGTCAATTCAGTCTAATTCGATCGGTTCCTTTTGTACATCTCTAGTCAATTCTCACCTTGGAATCTGAAACCGAACTAGGTAGGGTTAATTCCCCGTTTGTCAAATCGAGAACCGACCCGCCCGATCCTAGGACTAGACCAACCAATCCAAGCCCATTCCAGAGTTGGTCTCAGAAATGGTGATTCCTTTTTTTTTGGTTTCTTCTATTCCCTAGTCGCTTCTATGTATAAAGAAGTCATTTCTATATTCTAGTAAATGTGAAACATAATTTACTAATTTAGGGTTTCCTTCAGAATATTTAAAAAAAGAATAGTAATATGGAACGGACTGTCGGTTCGAGATCACTCTCCGTAAGTATGAAAAGAATAAGATTCGAACTCGCTTAGTGATCATTCTCCGTTTGTTTCGCAAAAATAAAAAAGATTTGGAAAATATTTTTCTATAAATAATTGTTTATATCATTTATAATAATGAATTAACAAAAAATATTTTTTATCGTCCATGAATATGCTTAATCATAAATTATCGTCAATAATGTAAAAAATTTCCATCGACTAATTATTTCAAGCTATATAAACAATCACTTTTAGGAAAATATTTCCACAAAACAAACCGAACAAAGAGATATTTATGCCAACAGAAAAAGAAAAAAAGAAAGTTAGGGCGAATTTGAAATTATCTTGAAGGACGAGAACTCACAACAATTATCCTAACGGGGGCTCGATTGAAAATTCATCAGGGGCAAAAATCCAATTATCCAACAAAGTTTTCGCGGAGTTGTCCCTGGGCCTGTTAAACGGGTGGGTCGGGTCGGGTTTGGGTCGGGTCATAAATGGTCCGACCCAAATTGACCCATTAACCCGTTTATGACCAATTTATTCAAAGTGTAAATATCTCAACCCATACCCGACCCGACCCATATTGCTAAAACACTTTTATATTTAACCTAATCTAGGAATACTTGTTTCTTATGATTTTTTTTTTAAAATTATACTGCTAAAACATTTTATGCAATACAAAGCTAGCGAAAAAAATTTATAAATTTTTTTAAATTTGAGGTTATGTTTGTTTTACGAAAAATGCGACATTTCTAGAAAATATTTTTCATAAAGTCATTATCCAAGAAAATAAAAAAAAATTAATATTTTTTTATTTTTTAAATCGAATTTTTAATTATTTTTATTTTTTATTTTTCTTTTTTCTTTTTCCTTTATTTTTGGCCGATCGCCGGCCACCGTGGCCGGCGACCGACCACAGGCGAGGACGAGCTCGTCGGAGGCCGGCGAAGCTCGTTCTCGCCGATCTAGCGAGGCCTCGGCCTCAGGCGAGGCTCCAGCCTCGCCGATCTGGCGAGACTCGAGCTCGCTAGCCTCGGGCGAGCTCTACCTCGCCGGATCTAGCGAGGTGGAGCCTCGGCCGAGGCCGGCGAGGTAGAGCTCGCCCGAGGCCGATGAGCTCGAGTCTCGCCAAATCGGCGAGGCTGGAGCCTCGCCAGGATCGGGCGAGCCTTGAGGTCGCCGGAATCGGGCGAGCTCGAGCCTCGCCGGAGGCCGGTGAGCTCGAGCTTCGCCGGCCTCTGGTGAGGTCGTCCCGCCCCGGTGGCCGGTCGCCGTGGCCGACCACCGGCCGGAATAAAAAAAAAAGAAAAAGAAAGAAGAAAAAAGAAAAAAATAAAAGAAAAAATACAAATAATTAAATTTCGATTTTTTTTAAACATCTTTATAAAGAGGAAGAGAGTGTGTGGATGGGTCTAGTGGGTGGATTGGACATGGGTTCCAAACTCAACCCATTTAGACCCATTTATGTTTAAGCTTTAAAATTTAAAACCCATTTAAGGTTGACTCTTTAAAATTAAGCGACCCATATATGACCCATTTATTTTTAAATGGGTCATATATTGGTTTAAGACCCATTTTGACACCTCTAGGGACAACTAGAGAAGCTATGTCGTCGCGGGATACACGAGTATGAAGGAAGATTGCTTCGTTCAAGTTTTTTTTAGCACCTTATTGAATTAGATTAGATTCCGACCAAAAAAACAAAGAATTAGAATAGAAAGGAATTAAAACAAACAAAGAGAAGAGCACGAAAAGCTATTTATGTGGGAAATTGAGGGAGCATTAAAGGAGGAGTCGTACTAATGTCCACATTGAAAATGCCAATATTTCTTTATTTAAATTTTTAACGAGCGCTCTGAGACTCACGGTAAGAAGGTGTCCCGAGACATTTGTCAAGCAATCAAATAAGGAAATATCGCAATTCTCAATGTATTAATTGCTCTCGTGATTGAGTGATCTCATGACACTTGTTAAACATGCTTAATTAAGAATATTTTAATTTTCAAGACAGGAATTAAACATAACATGAGAAAAAAATAGCACTTCGAAAATCATAAACTTTCTGTAAATGTTCGCTTAAAATATGTTTAATAAGTGCCTCTAGATATCGGTTTTTGTTTGTTCCATCTTTAACTCATTTTACTTTCTGATTTTTGCTCTGTTTCTTGCAGAGTGCGAGAGACGAACTCGCACCTGTCATACTAGTATTCTCACCCCCCAATTATTTTACCAGCATCATCGCATGCCTATGGACCTCTAGATACGGATTGCCTCTCTCTAGATATAGACAAACACACACAAAAGTCAAACTTGGGGCATTGGTACTCTGCAAAACCCTAACTTGTATGCCACTTATTAATGAACTACTTACTACTGGTGGCCATTGAATTGACCAGGAAGTGAAAAGCGTTGTGGATGGTGAATTGGGTCGATGCGCATGAACGCGTGTAGCTATCCAGCTGGTTCAATTGACCTACACTACTTGCCCCCAGTTGCGTTTTGCTTCTTCTGGTCAACAACTCCCACCAATACGTAACCTGACATTGCTGTTGACAGTCTAATATAGAATGTCAAACGCATCATAGATAAGAGGGTCGTCTCTGGAATTTAATAAAAACTGTACTTCGATTTGCGAAGCATCGATTATTAACAATGCAAATTTTTTTTTTTTAAAAATCTAAAGAATTTCCAAATCTTCTCAATCTATTTGTTGAAAATTGACCGGATACTCGTTAACAAAATCTGTGCGCTGATACTACCAAACATCGTGTTCACTGATTTTTGCCTCGAAATATTCTCCGCTAGTCTGAAAAACCAATTTATTTGTCTAAGGTAAATATATGAGTTTATGTTTATATGTACAAACATATTAAAAATCGGTTTTCAATGTATTCTCCAGGATTTATCGATTTAGCACAACGGTTTCGTTTGTTCGTATATAGGACAACGGTTCTTAAATATTATTATTTTTCTTTGGCCATTTTTTGTTGGTTAAAAATGATATTTTAGAATCGACCAGGAGGGCCGTCCACGATCTAATGGTCAGTTAACTTTAGCCTAGAATGGGGTACCTTTATCTTAGGTTTTGAAGATTATTGTTATCAAAGCTAAAGCACAAGAAAATCACAGTCAAAACGTATAGGTGTCATTGAAAAATCAACCCATTTAAAACACAAATCTGACCTTTCGGTTCAAAATATCTTCGAATAAAACTAACAAAATATGTAGAGGAAAATCAGCTCAATAACCATTTATTGCACCCACAATTTTTTTCAAAAAAAAATTAATTTTATTATTTCGCACAGATTATTTCGTGGGTTGACAATGACAGATGTAATGGACAATAATTTTGCAGGGGGCAAATTGTTTTACCATGTTGACATTACAAAGTAATGAATTAAAAGGGGAAGAACTCTTGGTCCTGTCGAAGTGTCGCACATTTATGGATTGCCCCAAATTAGACTGAGGACACCCTCGACTCGACAAGAACAGGAGGGAATTCACGTACTACTGTCTTTAAATCGATTGCATGAAATATTTTGGTCACTGGGCTAAAACTCAGGGTGACAAATTTTTCACATGAGGTGAAAAGTATTGACTAAGTTTCAGACAAGGACGCCCGCGTGCACGAAAACGGGAAACGGCTTTTTGTCCATCATATGTTCTTCTTTTTTTGGGTCAAAATCCCTCGTACATTCGAATGGAGTTTCCAAAAGAAAAAAAACACCCAATTTTAGATTTAATTTTAATTCTGGCTCGAACTTGTTTTTTGTCTAAAAACAATTCACGGCTTTCGTTCTAGTCCCAAATTTGCCAACGCGCCCAAAAGTCGCCGCCGATTTTTCCAAAATTATTAATATCAGGACCGGTCGGAGGTTCGTTTTCTGAATCCTAGTCTTCGTCGACATTCTTACCTTCGTATGGAACAACAACAACCTCATGATGTTAATAATCTTAAAGAAACTGGTGGCGAATTTTTCGAGACGTGGACAGATTTGGGATTAGAGCGATAGTTATGGATCTTTTTAAGATAAAAAAACAGTTTCGCGCGGAATCGAGATTTGACCTAAAGCCGGGGGTCTTTGAATGCATTCCAATTCGTTCGTATACGATTTTACGTGCCATGTATATACAAACTAAATTAGATCCGGTCTTACTTTGCATTAAATACTTCTCCATTATTTACTAGTCTCTATGCACTTTTACCTAACTAGCTTATTTTTATCAGCTCTTCCCTACCATCCAATTCTTTTTTCAAAAATTAATGACTGAATAATACTCATCAATAACCCTAAGTTTCCTCAACATGAGCCAACAATTGGTGACCCACTTGGCCAAACTGGTATTATTCTTTCATCTTTTTCGGCAGCCGACCTCACATGTCTTTGCTAGAGACAAGCTGCCTGAGAAGGAGACAGCATTGATCAAAGGTTGGTGGAGACAGGGCAAATCCTTGAGCAATTATTTAATTAATTTAGTAACTCATTTAATATGGTAGAGAGCTGGAATTTGAGACCCCCCCACCATGAATCTTGGTACGATTTGATTCCTTTCTCTATATCTATATTTTGGTCTCACCATGTATTAATATAAAAATAACATCTCTCATGGTAAGAGTTGACAACTTTTGTGTGGTACACCTGTGCCAAGAGATTGGTGGCTCCATCGTCCCACGGATTAGGGACTCGCTCTCTCTCTCTCTCTCTCTCTCTGGTCCCTCACTCAGATCCCCCCAATGGGAGAAACCGACAGGGGAGACAAGACGAGAGCTTGAGACACACGCGCACACTCTCCCGCACGCACACGTTCGCGTTCTCTGCAGCAAGAAGACAATCGCGGAACATGGGAATGGCTCGTTCTCTAGTTGGCACCCTCGCGGCGGCGCTCGCTCTCCTCTTCCTTCTCTCCCTCGCCGCCTCATCTTCGGCCGCACCACCGCCCTCCCGCGAACGAAAGCTGGGGTTTTTCTACACCCGCACCAGAGGACGATGCACTCCTCAGTAACCCCATCTCTCTCTCTCTCTCTCTGGGTGACTGAGTCGGGCCGAGTCGACCCGCTGCCTCCGGTGGCTGACTCGGGTTTGCTGTTTCATTCTTCTTCTTCTTTTTTGTTTCTGTCCTTGCGCAGGTACTGGAGCAGCGGGCGAGAGAAGTGGCCGAGGATGGTGCCGAGGAAATCCACGGTGTCGAGGGCGTTCGGGTCGAGGGCGATCGCCGAGCTCTACGGCGGCGATCTGACGGTGTGGGAATCGACGGCCGGGGTCGTCGGCGTGGGGGGCGCGTACGGCAGGCTGGTGAAGCAGGCGAGCGCGGCCCTTCTCAACTCGTACGCCCGGAAAGGGTTCGCCTACTCGGCCTGGGAGGTCAAGACCCTGCTCATCCAGGCCTTGGCCTCGCCGCGAGCCGCCACCGATCAGGTCGACCAGTTCGCCGTCGCCAACGAAGCCTGTAATTAGCAGCAAATCCTTTTGTTTCTTCTTTCTTGTTCTTTCTATTGTTTCTCCTACTGAGACTCGAGTAGCAGCCGTAGTCACAGAAATGATTTGCCAGATCAGCATGTGAAAGTTCTAACCTAACTGGTCGGTTGTTTTATCGGTTTTTACTCTAACCAAAGTGGTTCTGTAATTGAATCGTGCGTTCGAATTTACGGTTTAACCAGGAGAGCGGTCACGCGACATCGCGTGATGTTCGCCTGACACGACAGTCACGTGACTTGTCCCGCTCTTTTGGATTACTTTTTTCTGACACTGGTTGACTGCACGATCAGCCAGTGGAGGCCCGATCAGATGGAGCTGGCTGCAGGCTGAGCTCGTCTTCGACAAGAATCTTAGACCCTTTGCGATTGGGCGCGCGCGCTCTGATACGTCAAGCGGTGAGGTGGCGAACGCTAGCAACGTGTCTCTAGTACCCGCCGGAGCCGGCGCCGGAACCCCCCCTTGTTCATGACCGCCTCTAGAGAGGCACGTGATGTTGAGCTCTGCCGCGCAACGTGTCGTGGTGGTGGTCTTTGGGGGGCGTTGGACCAAAGATTTGTGGCTGAGGCGGCGGTTGGTCTTTGGTGGTGGTGGCAGGTCGCAGGCGCCGGAGGCGGCGGCTGTCGTGAAGGAGAGAGAATGACACGGGAGAGTGAATAACATCAAGGTTTGCTAATTAGGGTTGTGTATGGTTCGCATTTACCAATTTAGACTATCTTGATACATAATTGACCGATCAAAACATCGTACGATAATTGATGGTTACCTGCCGGATGACGACCGATTTTGACTCATAAGAATGTGGTAATAGAACATCTTTGGTTTTATGTTATTTCTAATAATTTGTTTGTTTGAAGATAAATTGCTTTCGGAGAAATTGTTTTCCAACTTTTCAGCATTGACTGACGGAAAACTAAACCATGTACGGAAAACATTTTTCATAGATTGAGAATAACAAATGTAGATTGAGGAAAAACAATTTTCCTTCTGATAATAAATAAATCACTCACTCTTGAAAGTGATTTTTATGGAAAATATTTTCATTTATTATAAAGTTTTCAGTTAAACAAACGCACTAAGAAAATAGTGGAGATATCATCACATTGATTCTAGTTTGGGTGAACCCATTTCGAGCTCAAATCACATATTGTTTTCTAGTACATTTTATTTTTATAAAAAAAAAGTAATAAGTTGGGCAACAAAGATTAGGCCTAATTTGGTAGGAGTGATCGATTCCAGGGTGAGTGTCAATTCTAGAAATGATTGGTTCCTGGTCCGATCCGGTCAAATCCAATGGAATCGGTTGATTAACAAGGAAAGCACGCGAAATGTTAATTTCTAGAATCATACCATCATCACAATCAAAAGCATCGTCACAATCGTTTGCTCTAAAATCATCGTAATAGAAGCAGTGGAGGAGATTAATTAGGAAAGCACACAAAATATCAACAATCCAAAGACGAAAAAAACTTACTCAAGAGTGAAGACTGAGAGTTGATACGAGAGCCGCGCAAGAAGGAAGGGAGCTGCAACCATATTAGGGTTTTCTAAAAAACTATACATATATCAGTCAGTTCGATTTCTACCCTGGAACCGAAAACCAAACCGATCAGACATCGATTAAAAAAATAGGAATTGGGAACCGGACTGACATCCTTGGAACTGCCTAAAATCGGTCAATTCAGTCTAATTCGATCGGTTCCTTTTGCACATCTCTAGTCAATTCTCACCTTGGAATCTGAAACCGAACTAGGTAGGGTTAATTCCCCGTTTGTCAAATCGAGAACCGACCCGCCCGATCCTAGGACTAGACCAACCAATCCAAGCCCATTCCAGAGTTGGTCTCAGAAATGGTGATTCCTTTTTTTTTGGTTTCTTCTATTCCCTAGTCGCTTCTATATATAAAAAAGTCATTTCTATATTCTAGAAAATGTGAAACATAATTTACTAATTTAGGGTTTCCTTCAGAATATTTAAAAAAAGAATAGTAATATGGAACGGACTGTCGGTCCGAGATCACTCTCCGTAAGTATGAAAAGAATAAGATTCGAACTCGCTTAGTGATCATTCTCCGTTTGTTTCGCAAAAAAAAAAGATTTGGAAAAGATTTTTCTAGGGTTAATTCCAAAAAAAAGCACCAACTTTAGGTCGAGGGACAATTCTGGCTCGAACTTTTTTTTGTCTCGTAAAAAAGCACAAACTTTCATTTAAATCCCAAATTTGGCCCCCCATTGATTTTCTGTCTGAAGTTACCATTGTTTGAGAAAAAAAGTTATGGTGGTGAGCCTGGCGAATCTCTTCTATGGCGTCTGTCGACAGGCGGTAGTCTACAGCTTCAGATTATGACAAAACGACGAAGTTTGGCCAGAAAGATTCAATTTGAAGATATTTTTGACTTGCCGGTGAAATGAAGGAGACGAACAGTTTCACCGTTATTCTTCAAGCTGTGGTTTAGAGAATAAGACAATGAATAATGCTTTAAATCCAGTCAGCAAGTCACGTGAATTTATTGCTAAGGTGGAATAGTCAAGTTGGAAAATCAATGGTTTTAAGTCAATAAGGGTCAGATTTGAGATTTAAGTGAAAGTTGGTGTTTTTTTACGAGACAAAAAAAAGTTCGGGCCAGAATTGTCCCTCGACCTAAAGTTGGTGCTTTTTTACAGGATAAAAAAAAGTTCAGGCCATAATTGTCCCTCGACCTAAAGTTGATGCTTTTTTATGGAACAAAAAAAAGTTCGGGCCAAAATTGTCCATCGACCTAAAATTGGTGTTTTTTTTTGGAATTAACCCGATTTTTCTATAAATAATCGTTTATATCATTTATAATAATGAATTAATAAAAAATATTTTTATTGTCCATGAATACACTTAATCATAAATTATCGTCAATAATGTAAAAATTTTCCATCGACTAATTATTTCAAGCACTTTTAGGAAAATATTTCCACAAAACAAACCGAACAAAGAGACATTTATGCCAACAGAAAAAGAAAAAAAGAAAGTTGGGGCGAATTTGAAATTATCTTGAAGGGCGAGAACTCACAACAATTATCCTAACGGGGGCTCGATTGAAAATTCATCAGGGGCAAAAATCCAATTATCCAACAAAGTTTTCGCGGAGTTGTCCCTAAAAAAGCAAAGCCAAAAATTTTCTCAAGACGGGCCTCTGCTCTTGGAAAATCACCGATTTTCCCACTCCTGCGATTTTTCCCGAGAAAAACAAGACCAGAAGGAGAGAGAGAGGGAGAAGAGAGGGAGAGAGGAGGAAGGTTTAAGGAATCGCCGGCGACTGGAGACGACGAGTTCATCGGAGAAGTGGCGGCGGAGGAGGAGGAGGAGGATCACACCACAGCTCGCCGGCGAAAATGGTGGCTATCTCGACGTGGGTCCGGTACCTCTACCACAAGCTCGAGTACTCCGCGTATCTCAGTTGGAAGGTCTCCCTCACATTCCCTTCCTTCCTTCTTCTTGTTGTTTGGATCACCGCCCGCATGATTCCGCCGCTTCTGGTTCGTGATTGGTTCGCTCCAATGTCGTTCGCGCTTTTCAATGGCGGGTTACGGGTGCTTTCAATCTCCTGTTCGTGCCTTTGGTTCCTCGGAATTGGTTTTGTTGTTAATACCGGGGCACCTAATTTTCGTTGAGATTGTTGTTTTCTGGAGTGATGGTTTGGGTTTTGTGGTCTGATTGGTTCATTTGTATAGGTTGGGACGATTGGTAGGTCGCCCAGAATGCGTTGTTCCAGATGAAAGTTTGTTTTTTTTAGGCTCTTTTTCTCATCTCGTGGGTCGATCTTCTAGCTGGTTCTGCTCTTGCATTATCTCTTTGTTGGACATTTACCTCTCTTTCTTGTTAATTGGAAATAGGGTTTGCTTTAGTGTTGGCTTGGGTGTATATGGTTGGCTTTGTTGTGATTTCTGGTGCTTAAGATATGGTTGGATTCTGTTTTCTGAGCTTTGGAAAATAATGAAAATCTTCAGAATAGTTGTGCGAGTTGAACGAACTTCGGCTTACTAGACAGAACAGGGTGTGAATATCAAGACTAGACCATATAATTCTAAGGGTTGATTGGTTGTTCCACTCTTCATCGTGTTTCAGTTAAATTCGTCAGTGATAAACACAGAAACCCTCTAAAAGTTGTTGAGAGGTTGCCAGTCCGTGTCTATATAGGAAACACAAACTGACAGGTGAGTCTAGCCTTTTCTGATATAAGGAGCTCCATGAAATGTTGAACGTAGTAGAAGCATCCCTGTTCACCTATTAACAAGTTCTTTTTTTTCCCGAGTCTGTCAACATTATTGAGGAATGGACCAATGCAGTTAGCCTTCTCTTTGGTTTGCATGTTCTTATCCACTCGACAGCTGAACCTCAGCAGTCGGCGGATCTCAAGGCCAGCCAAGACCTGCTAGTTACTTCATATTCAGCATTGGGCGACGTCCCCCTGAACGGCAATAAAACATAACATGTACTATGAACCGGTTTTATTGTGATCATGTGGATTCAACATGTTGTTATAGTACCATCCGGATTATGAACAGTGATTGTTTCTCTTATAATTGTATTTCATTGACCTAGTAGTCTCGTGTTGAGAATGGTCAGTCAGGTAATGACATATGTATCCTGATATTATAGTGAATGTAGTTTCTATTGAATTCCCCCATAAATTTGTCTGTGACTTTTTGTTCAATTCTAGAATTTTGACATCTAGATTGTGGAATCTAAAGATGATTGTGGGCTCAATCCCACCCCCTTCAATTTGCTACCAAGCTCCTGTTCCACCCTGTCATTTATGGAGATCTACTGAAATAATTTAGTCCATACACGGGACAATTAGTTTCATTGAATGTGCTTGTTTTCATCAACAATTTGCTTAGCGATTACATTTTGAAAGTTATGTGGCGTCACATTTCTTCCTACATGTGAAATATTCATATGATTTTTGTCTTTAAAAATAAATTCTTCCATGTGAAGTTCATGAGTGCCTGCCTTAAACTTTAAAGAAGCACCTAAAAAATCTTGATATCCTTTTGGCGATATATAAAAATCTGATGGATTATATACATGACTCATACCATGAGAGTAAATATCAGTGGTAGAAAGCATCCTAGACATATGATATGGAGACAAAGAAAACAGAGAAACTTGCAACTGATGCTTAGTTTTTTCTTTGATGCTTCATCTTATGTATAGGGAGTGCATGTTAGCTGAATCCACATTTTGAGTGTGTGCAGAGCTATAAAGGTGGCCTAATTACCGATGGACAAGTAGGAGATGCTATGTGGAGACATCTATTTCAAGGAAGATTGACATACTTGCACTGGCTTAAAGGAGAGGAAATAGCTTCTGCTGCAGGAGGGCTTACAGGAACTCTTCTCGTTCGGAAAATTCCACATGCAGATCCAACGTGAGTACACTTTACTGTTTTGATTAAAAAAAAATCCTATCTGCCCCCCTTCTTCAAATTGCCAAGTTGCTGATTGAGGCTAGTTCAGTTACACCAGAGTTGTCATAACTCTCTTTACTCCAATTTACACGTTAGCAGGAAATTTCTGCAAAGGGGAACATACAAGGAGGAAACAGATTACTTAGTATTCTGATGTTTGTGGAACTGAGTGGCCATTGTTTATTGACCTGATGGGCTTGTTTTTTTTTTTTCCCCCCGCAGGGATAGGCTTTCCCTATCTGTAACTTTTTCCTGGTCATTACTTCCCAACTTGTGGAATGTGAAACTTACCGGACCTCCTTGAACTTATGAACCTCAGTTCCAGTGTGCATGGTTTATTTTCTTTGAATATCTTTTGTCAGCCAAACCATCACTAGCGATATATTCATTTTGTGAAACCAAATGTAAATAACTACAACTTATTGGATGGATAGGATTTAAGGTAACAAACAAGACTAGATAACAGAGCAGACAACAATGAGAGAGAATGTGTGTTTAAGTCTGTTTAGGTGTCACACTTGAAATTAAATGCCATTATGTTGGGGCGAGTTAATGGAAGTTCTCAAAACAATGTAACAAATCATAACTTTATGGGTACAGCCAAGATAATCCGTAGTTTATAGCTTTAGAACCTACTTTATCCATTCTCTACTACATGGTTATGCTACCATAAGCGAATATATGTTGACCAGTCGTATATGCCTGACAGGCACTTGTCTCCAAGAAAAGGTTCATGCTTGAGCTTGTTAACTACCACGATGGCTGGTGCTCTTTTAATCAATAATTGGTGCCAAAGCAATTTATGTGATTAGCAATAATAGGAGTTCCTTACCAAAAAAAATAATAATAGTAGGAGTTGTTTGCTTGAGCCGATGGTGTAGCATACATGTTGGCACACATTGTTCCCAAATTTGTATGCTTGTTTGAGGCCCAGAGCTATAATTGTTGGAGTTGTATAATAGATAGTTCATGGCTTCACTCGACGAGTAAGGATTGAATGCATATCCATTTACAGCCTACTCAGCAATTCCACGTTGTTGAAAATTGTCATTTTTCTTTAGCAGAAGTATATTTCTTGACGTTCTTCTTTTAACTTCCAAAAGACATAATCATCCTGAGGATCTGATTGTTTGTCTTTCACGCTAAATGCTTGGGTACTCATTAGGATTGCTTATGTTCTCAGTTTCAGTTTCTTGGGTTTGATATCGTTATCCCTCAGTTTAGGTTCTGTGAGTTCAACTAAATCTAAAAAAGTATCATTTTGAATAGTTTTGGCTGTCATGCTTTTGGGTCGCCTTCACTGTGTGCATATAACTATATTCTATAGTGCCACTTGAACCTTTTTCTAACGTTTACATACTTTCCCTTTCACAATCCGTCTCTGTGTCCTCCTCTCACATGCATGCACACGTGTACTGTGGAAAGCTATACTTAAACCTATTGAAAAAGCAATTTCCCAGAGTTCACTACTTTTCAAGTGGAGATCTATGATTTGGTGTGTGTACTTTTGCATAAAGAGGTAAAAAGATTTATGAAGCACATGTTTGCCAATCATCTCTCCTCTCAGCACTGCATTTTTATTTCTTTTGGGGAAGGGGGGGGGGGGGGGGTGGGGTTGCATTGAATGCTAAGATAATTAGCGAGCAGCTTTTATTTAATCATTTATTGAGAAGTACTGACCAACAGATAAACACATGCAATTGGGTCCACGTTTTGAGATCACCTGCAGTGGCTGAATAGGTTGAATAATCTTGGAAAATTCAAATCATGGTGTCATAAACTGAATTTCAGAGCTCGCATTATAACGATTTTCACTTTTTGTAAACCATCCTTGACTGGATCTCATGATTTGTTATCCGGGTGTCTTAGGTTGTGGTGAACTGTTCATTCATGTGTTTGGTAAATTTGGGGAATAGGGCCCAATCATTTGTCTTAGGTGCATATGCTCACTGTATTATTCTTACTACACCTTCTGCAGCCATGTTTTTGTAGGAGATGTTCTACTTTTGAAGGATCCTGAAAAATCAAATAACTACTTAGTCAGAAGATTGGCTGCCATCGAGGGGTATGAAATGGTGTCTACTGATCCAACAGATGAACCTTTTGTCCTTGAAAATGGTAAATGCTGGGTACTGGCCGATAACAAAGATCTGAAGCCCAAGGTACATGTGCTGCTAAATTATATTCTACCTTCATTTCCTGAGTTGATCGATGAGTAGTAATGTTACGTGACTTTACTTGTTAGTGGTTATGCAATGGGTTTTATTTATTTTCTTCATTTAAGAAGCCAATGAACTGTATGAAATCATTTTCCTTATCATGTTCTGTCGATTTGCCCCTCCAATGAAGAGTTTGGGCATTCCGTCTGACTATAGTGAGAAACAAGTATAATATATTAATAGCATGAATGCAACCATGAAAGTTTTTCCCTAGATACTTAACGAAGAAAAATTCAGATGAGAAGCTATACTTAACCAGCATTATTGATCCTTACCTTATAAATTGATATCTTTTAGGGACAGGTTGTGGGATTAAAGGTGAAAGCATCTTGTCAGAGATGAATAGTGATATAAAATTAAGATTTTGCTTCTGATAATATGTGATAAAGTGCATATTTCTTGTCTGATTGCTGACTTTTGCCCACGAATTTAACTTCCAAAATGCAAGTGCTATGGACAGGTTGCATAAAAGTTTTAGATGTAAAGATAAGTCAGATGTGGGCACCTGTTGACTAATTCATTGGACCTCTGGGCTTAAAGCACGTAGTGTTTCATTATGCAACAGCCTACGTTAGAGAGCATTCACAACTGTGGGACAAATAGCTGCAGAGGTTTTAATATTGTGAACAGAGGTTCTCTTATTGTTGATGGGCAAGAACAAGTCTAATATTAACTATATGTGGGTCATAGTTTTCTATCATCCACAAGCGCTGTGGTAAATAGCTTGCGTAGTGGGGTTAATATTCTTTTCAACTCCTATAGAAGGTGTAACACCCCGGGTCTACACTGTGTAATATTGTCCACTTTGGGCCCACTAACCCTCACAGCTTTTAAACGCGTTACATAGATATAGAACCCCAAGCCTTATAAGCCAGTCCAGGACTCCCCCCCTAGGCGATGTGGGACAAGAGAGGCTCCCCCTCCCTTCCCTGCGCACATTCGAGGACTGAGGCGCAGATGCACCGCCGTCCCTCCTCCCCACGCACCGCCGCCTGGGCTGTCATACTCTCCAACCCTTAGGGGCACAGCGTCCTTGCTATGGCTCCACACATGGTCGGGAGTCGGCTCTGATACCACCTGTAACACCTTGGGTCTACACTGTGTAATATTGTCCGCTTTGGGCCCACTAACCCTCACGGCTTTAAAACGCGTTACATAAATATAGAACCCCAAGCCTTATAAGCCAGTCCAAGATTCCCCCCCTAGGCGATGTGGGACAAGAGAGGCTCCCCCTCCCTTCCTTGCGCGCGTCCGAGGACCGAGGCGTTGACGCACCGCCATCCCTCCTCCCCACGCACCACCGCCTGGGCTGTCACAGAAGGGCTTGTGAACACTTTTGCGACTGATCGCTCTGATGTCTCTCTTCTTCTTTATACATGTATTTGCAACATTTTTCAGTTATAGCTTTGAGGCTCAAGGAGCCCATGAGACACTTAAATCCTAAAGTTAACTACAATTTGATATCTAGAATTCATCACCACAAGGTTATAAATTTCACTTGAGAATTGAACAAACTATAATGATCAGCATGGCCCTTCGTTCGTATGGCTTGTTTAACCATTCTATGATCATCAGATACTCCATTGACACTGCTCAAGTAGATATACTTTTTTGGTGTGTTTTATACTGGTCTTATGGCGGTATCCTACTGCTATAGTATGGTTTAGTTGCTGCTAATGTCTTTGTGGCTGTTCTAAATTGGTTAGACTAACATCAGAAGAAAACTTCAATTGTTGAAGTTTAAGAACATCACCTTCCTAAACAGCATACCTGACCTATTCAGAAACCTATTGCCTGCTTTAAATGATTGGTTCTTTTTCTCTCATCTTCATGGCAGGAAGCACATGACAGTCGAACATTTGGTCCTGTTTTCATGAATGATGTTGTTGGAAGGGCCATATATTGCCTAAGAACAGCTGTAGATCATGGCCCGGTGCAGAACAGGTGAGCTGCTCAAAACAGGATATTGAATGCAGGTCATGTGTCGAAATGAAACCAGACCGTGACCAATTATCTCTTTAAGCAGTAAGTATGGTTTTGGTGATTGATCTCTGTTTTATTCATGCGCAGTTACTACAGCATGCAGAAGGATTCGCCTGTCTTGGAAGTTGAATTGGATGTTGACGAGATGGCGAGGAATCACAAAGCGTGAAAATGTGGCTGACTAAGGTCACTCGCCGGGTTTTGTGTTCTCTCTTGAGAAGTTCTGGAAGAGGGAAATTCTTGTTATATCTTTTAGAACAAATGGGAACTCACATGCCGCACTGCATTCTTCATTTATCGGACGGCTTTGTCTTGTTGTCTTGAGTGGGATCACCATTTCATTTATTCGGTGGTTCTGACTTCCTCTTCGCAGAATATGTTAATGGCTGGTGCTCGCTGTTGGTTTACCTCGGTTTATAATGTTTGTCAACAGAGGTATGCTAGGTGAGAAAGAAAAAATAAGGGACGGTTATCGCATTTCTCACTCGTGCCTTTCTCTGCTGGCCCTTCAACTGAAAGTTCCTTTCGCGCAATGCGACCCTCGTTTGTTGCTTTAACATGTGATCTTAATTCGCTACCGACACATTGAAAGTTAGTTCAACGTGATGTTATCCCTTTTGATGGGTCTCCGAATGTGATGTTTTACTGTAAGAGCTCGAGAGCTGGTCGCATAAAGAACTGCATACAAGAGCACATCATCTATCTCTGTAGCAACCTAATCAGTGAGCCAGACAGCTGCTAGGACCCCATATTTTTCACTGGATATCATCTACCATGACTAAATACTAATAATAATTCCTGAAATATGTAATTACTTTCTTATTTGACTAGAAAATCTCACTCAATCTAAAAATGAATATTATACATTGTGGACGCCAAACTGTTGTTTTGAAATGAAGATGAGTTGATAGCGGGGTTAATTTTTGAAATTATAAACGATTTGTATGCTTTCACTTTGCTATTTGACGGTCATTTGCATGTAACGCAATTAATGCTTCAGCAATTACATTATTTGGTGAAAAGGAAAAAATTGGACATGCACAAGCACAAGCACAAGCGAAGTGTTCTAGGTATCTACTAGTGCATGAGATGTTCACCTTAGACAAGTAAGAAAATTGGATGGTCCAATTTCTTTTGTGGCAGTAAATTTATTTTAATTGAAATTAGTCAAAATCATTTATCTTAATTTTGGGAGGATTATTTTGGCCAAAAAAAGGATGCATTTTTTAGCTGTCTGCCATAAATCTCTCATCGATTTTTTTTTTTGGTTAGAAATCTCTTATTGATCAATTGCACTTGGAAAAGAGTACTCAATTTTTCCAATCCCGACATCAACATTATATACAACGTCTTGAATATACTCATCTGCCCGAAGATCATTATCTGTTATGGTAATTCGCTGAATTTCGCCAAATTCACCTTTTGTCTCACTTTTCCATTTCTTTGGATATTGTCTCCACTAAAGAAAGACATAAAAATCGGTCCAATTCTAAATTATCCTCGAAGACAAGAAAAGATATGGTCAGCACATTTTCTCTTGCATGGAACTAAATCCGTCAAACTAATGAGTCGCGTCGGATTTAAAATGGTCCGCCCCAAATAGACTAATTTACATTGCAATACAAATTTAATGATCTATACCCATCCGACCCGACCCGACCCATACGTGACATATACATGGCCCGATCCATGTTGTTAAAATATTTCTATTTTAATCAATCTAGGAAAACTCATATCCAAACTAAGGTGATAGCGCAAAGTGAGTGAGTGCGAGATCGAGTGAGTGCGAGAGAGAATGAAAAGAGAGCTATAAAGGTAGCTTAGATTTAAATATGTCGTAATCCATTTACGATCTATTTAATATTCATATTATGTTTAAACTCATTTATAATCAATTCAACTAATTCATATATTATGATAAAAAAAATTTATATAATAACTCAGTCTATTAAATATGGACTAAGAAGTAAAGAATATGAACCATTTTGATGAATCTTAGTGGAGCTATCCATTTTCTTTTCAAAGATGACAACCCAATCTCGCGGGACCCTAGTCCAATCAAAGCAAAGAGCGACTTACAGCTTCACGCTCCATTTCTTGAAGCGCGAGCAGAATCACACTCGAAAGGGACATGGATTGGACGCGTTCTTCCGCCGTCCGCACCGTCAGATGTCCCGTTTACGACGGTCCGACTACACGATACAAAAGCACGAAAAAACTGAGGAACACGCGAGGCTCGACACGGCAACCTCGAAAGATTACTCGGTTTTTGTTTTCGGAAGCGCGAACGCAAAGTCGATGTTCGAAAGGGGGAATGTTGGTCCTACACATTGACAGAGAAGTGTGACATCTTTTCGGGAGAGCGCACCGACACACACACACACACCACCACCACCAATCCCGCGAAATCAAACCCAATTAACAGCAATTCCCCATCATCATCATCGTCATCTTCTTCGCTCGAATCCAAACACAACCAAAATCTTTCAGATCTCTCTCTCTATCTCCAGCCCCCCCGAAGAAGAAGAAGAAGAAGAAGAAGAAGAAGAAGAAGAATGGGGTCTCTCCCTCCTCTCTCCTCCGTAGACCGCCCTCCTTCCACCACCCCAGATCAACCCAAGAACGCCAACGCCGCCATCGACGAGCCCACCCTCCTCCGCCTCTTCAAGTCCCAGCAGAGCCACCTCAACTTCTTCTTCCACAACCTCGACCTCCCCCAGACCCTCCGCTTCACCCAGGCCCTCCTCCTCAAATCCGGCGCCGGCGGCACCGTCTTCTTCACCGGCGTCGGCAAGTCCGGCTTCGTCGCCCACAAGATCTCCCAGACCCTCGTCTCCCTCGGCATCCGCTCCGGCTTCCTGCCCCCAGTCGACGCCCTCCACGGCGACATCGGCATCCTCGCCGACCGCGACGTCCTCGTCCTCTTCAGCAAATCGGGCAACACCGAGGAGCTCCTGCGGCTGGTGCCCTGCGCCCGCGCGAAAGGCGCGTTCTTGATCTCCGTCACGTCCACCGAGGAGAACCTGCTGAAGCGCTGTTGCGACATGGACGTGTATTTGCCTCTGGAGAGGGAGCTGTGCCCCTTCGACCTCGCCCCCGTCACCTCGACCGCGATCCAGATGGTTTTCGGGGATACCGTCGCCATCGCCTTGATGGGCGCCAGGAATTTGAGTAAGGAGGCTTACGCCGCCAATCACCCCGCCGGGAGGATCGGCAAGACTCTCATTTTCAAGGTCTGTGGCTTGTGTTCGATTTCGCAAGGGTTTTCGTCGCTTCTGTGAATTTGTGTGATTATGTGGCTTAGGATCTAGATGAAAGGGTGTGGCTTTTGCTTACTAGACGTGCTCGTGTTCGGAAACATATGCTATTGAGTGCTGTTGTTTGATTTGTTCATTCCCATTTTTGATGAGATTCACATTTGTAATGCTCTTGGATGTTGTCTTGGAAGCATTTGCCATGATTTAGTGTCTACTTATCCTTTTATGATGGGTGTGATGTGGCTTATGTGTTTGATCCAATGCTGCCTTTTTTTGGTCGAGGATGCAATGCTGCTTTAGCATATCAGAAAAGAACAAGATTTGATGGTGCCGATGAATCTTGTTTTCTTCGATATGAACTTATATAGTTCAGCTAATGCACGAGTCATATGAAATTGTCTCACATTAGCTTCTGGTATGTGAGCTGTTAAGGCTTTTTTTCATTGTTGGTGTGTGTTTCTTAGATTTTGGTCTTCTGTCCCACCATTTAATATCTACAAGTTCCCCGTCTACGGATCTATGGTTGGGAGATTGGTTGTAAAATCCTTGATGTTTGGTCTTATAGGATGGAAACTTTGGAAGAAAATGAGAATTCACAGTTTCTCTCCTTCGGCACCAGTCTATGATGGATACAGGGGGTGTTTTTAATGGGTCTAGATACCACTGTTAATGAGAAATATGGTGGTCTTGGTTATTAGTCGAATTATTGATCAAATTGCAACTAGATCGGGATGATTGGCATTGCACAAATTGTTGAGGTTATGTTTGAATGCTGTTGGGCAAAGAGTTAGATCTGGTTGATTTTGGTGTCCTAACATTTGCAATATAGTAGACTGGTTTTTGTCTTTCACATAAGGACATTAACTGGTAGTTTGATGGGTCGAAATACTCTTGCGGTGGTGAATTCCTTCTTCTATGTTAAGTTTCTGAATTTCAAATTATGCTTGATGATGATTGCAATGTCCATTGTTTTGCTAGAACCAGGGCAATCATAAATGCTGCATGAACATCTTTCCCTCTCCTCTAGCCATTCTCCAAATCCATTTCTTGCAAATTCAAACTGTCTGTTTTGATCACACCAAATTGTTTTCTGCAGTAAATTGCTAGCTGGATGACAACTCCAGCGAATACTTTACCTTTCTGCTTGCTAACTACGGCTGCGATAGCATATCTTCAGTTTGCAATACATGCCGTTTAAGTCCATTATTTTGAGGCTTGCCTGCGTGAGGTGCAGGTGAAAGATGTGATGAAGCAGCAAAATGAACTACCTGTCTGTAGGGAAGGAGAGCTGATAATGGATCAGCTTGTGGAGCTAACAAGTAAAGGATGTGGGTGCCTTCTTGTCATAGACGAAGGGTACCACCTGATCGGAACTTTTACTGATGGGGATCTCCGACGCACTCTGAAGTCTAGTGGAGAGGGTATCTTCAAGCTCACAGTGGGTGAAATGTGCAACAGGTATGTGAACAACAATCTAGATTACGATTGCTTTTACTGAAAGATGACTTAACTCTTTTTTTCGGATTTGGTAATTAGTACATTTGGGCTTACAAGTATCCATTGTAAGATATATGCTTTTTCTTCTTTTTAATCTTTTCCATTTTTCTATTCAAGACGCGGTGTCCACGAATTTGGAGGATTTGTAGTAGAGTGGGGTTCGTCCGATATAATCTTTATTTACCCTTAAAAGAACCTGATGAAAAAAAGTGTTTTCATCACATTTCTTGGGCCGCTCAAGCACAAACACAAGCACAAGCACATGGACTCGTGCATAGTTTCTCGACCGGATCCTGATGTTATTTTGGCTGAATCAGGAACCCGAGAATCATAGGCCCAGATGCAATGGCAGTGGAAGCTATGGAGAAGATGGAATCTCCACCATCACCAGTACAGTTTTTGCCCGTGATTGATCACCAAAATGTACTGATCGGCATTGTCACGTTGCACGGACTGGTCTCAGCAGGCCTCTGATTTTGCATTATTTGGTTAGATTCAATTCAATTCTATTATTTTAGCAGAAGAGAGGCTGCACTTCTTCTGTGGATCAGATTATTTGTATTTGTGAACAGCTGAGTTATTTGTTAGGTGTACTCTACTGTAAAATACTCGCACACCCCCGTAGCTAGAGCACGTGCCATTTTTGTAACAAAGATTCAGCGCAAAAAACAACACGATCTATGGTGGAAACGCGCTCAGATGTGGGTCTCTCTCTTTTTGTTCTTGCCATTGTATTGTGCGAACTTGCTTAGCTACTTGCTCACCAAAAGAAGTCAGAATCGGTCATCTTTCAGAGGGAGTTAAGCCACAGATCAGTTCATTCACAAACTTTAAACTGGAAAAGATAGGGAACTGCATCTGCTAATTCCCATGACATGTCTATCATCTAGACCTATCTATATAACGATAATGCACAAGTAACCAAAGCACTATCAAACAGAACCTACCCGACTCTAACTTGTTACAATGATCTAAGTACACTAGTTTTCCCAAAGTCTCACCCCGACCCAAAAGCCATAATGTACAACGCCATATGACTCTATACATGACTGCAGGAATGTGCTGGAAGACGCAGTTAGTAACTAGAGGAAAACTGAACCACCATCCATCTCAATGCTCATGTCTTCCAAGTTAGTGGGCAACGCATCTCCTACCAAACTGTTGTCTTCGAAGTTCATGTCCCACGTGAATCCATAACCATCATCGATGAGCTTGGTGCTTATTCCCTTGGACTGATGCAGAAGATTCAGCGTGGAGTGGGACTTATGGCCATGGAGAGACGATGACGTTGAGGATAACGAAGCAACCTGAGGGTAGGTCATCATCCCACAAGAGAAGGCTTGATTCGGTGGGGGATTATAATGGGATGCGTCGAAATTCACCAATGGAAGTGATGATGCAGCTGTTGCTTCATTGAAGGTGTAATGTGGGCTCAGCAAGGTGTTGATGGCGTTATCTTCCTTGCTCTTGTGGAATACTCTACACAACACCCAATCCTCCTGCCAGGTATATGCCACTGGATTTATCAGCAACATGCAATGGATAGACTCCAAAGCAATGCATGACTCGATAGAGTTCTATCATCGCACTCAAGTTAAATGAGCTTGGACACATCTTCCTTTCAGGAAATAATGGGAGAACTGACAAATCATTGTTCTTTCCTTTAAATAATTGCCCCTCTCTCTCTCTCTCTCGTGTATTTTGCAAAGGAAAAATCTCCTTCCAAGCGATTCTTTCTTCCTTTTTAGATAGTAACTTCCACGTGATTCAAGAACGGTGTAAAAAAACTTTCTTAAAACTAGTCTAATATGCCCAAGAATAAAAATTTCAATTATTAATTAGGTGGTCCATAACGCGTAGACGTGGAGCGTTTCCACAATGTAATTCTCACTGTCTGTCGTACTTTTTCTTTTTCAAGAAGATAGCTGATTGCATGAGAGAGAGAGAGAGAGACCTTGGGAGGCATATGTGGGGACTCCAAGCGAAATTCATGCATGATCCAACCGGTTTTGATCCCATTAGGAGCTCTGTTCCGGTAAAACACCAATGTCTTTCTCATCCCCACGACCTCTCGCGTGCTTGGGTCGTGCACCACGCGGTCTTTGCCTGTGGCTTTCCAGTACCCCGATATCGTTGCGCGGTTGGTCCGGTAGCCGGTGGCGTACTTGCGGTCGCGGAAGCTGAAAAAGTACCACTCGGTCGCGTTGAGCTTCGCCACCTCTGCGCGTACCCAACAAATATGTAAGCAAACATTAGTACGGGGTCGACAACTGAATGACTCCAAGTCATGCAAAAGGACGCTTGACGAGTGATACGATTATTATATAGAGTCGTGACGATACGATCTACAAAATTAATTCCAATGTGACAAACTTGTTGGAAAATTAAAGCTTTTACCGTTCCATATAATCGACAGTGAGGATAATGCGATGATTATATTCGACAAATAAGGATATGCAACGTATGAATTCCATGCGCAAGAAGCAAATTTGTACATGTGCAAAAGAGCTATTGCCTCTTCGGTTTGATTTCGATATGAAAGAGGGTATGACACGAGTAAGGTCGATCATGTTAAGATTGCATTAGAAACTTGAAAACACCACCTTGAACATCTTATAGAAATAACATGTGACCTCATGATAAAATAAAAGAGAGAAACCCTAAGAAAGTACATAATTACTACCAAATAATATGAGCAATTACCCCATACATTGGTCTTTTAATTAGATATATGGTTCAGAATAATGTATAAGTCGATCCTATCTTCTTCTTCTTTTGTGGGGGGGGGGGGGGGGGAGAGGTTAGGTTATATGCTGCTCACTTCTGAAATGAATTAGTTATTACTAATCAAAATGACATGAAGTCTCTCCATTTTTTAATGATAAAGACTGTATAATCGTCCGTAACTTTTTTGCGACAAGCAAGGTTTATACGTCGGCGGGCATTAATAATTGTAGCGAAGAGTCAATGTTGATGCAATAATTGGAAGCAATAGGTGGTCCTATGTACTATGTACAATGCATTTATGTGTGATTCGAGGAATCTAGTTGACTATATATCCTCCCCATGCTTACCGAAGCGTCATAATCACCACGATGACAACCCCACATAACTATTTTGAACTCATGTATGCAGTGCAATTTATTGCCCTCATGCATATGGAATGCCAAAACTCTTAATTTACAATATTATAATGTCAAGTTCGAAAAATAACGAGAGAAGCTCGCACCTTATGTAAAGCAATATGCTACGTACATATTAATTGATCCGTTTCTAATAATATAAGAATTTCAGGCAAATGATTTACTGATGATGGTATCGGAGCCGTGCGAATCCCGATCTTTTACATATAGTTAAATTTTTTAGAAGAACGATTTGCTTAATACAAGAGATCACGGCTTGAGACATGTTGAACTCCACGTCTTCGTCTTTTTGATGTACACAGTGTACTATATGTCAATGATTGTGTTTCTGGGTAGAAAGCTGTCACCTCTAGGGAGAATTCACTGAGTAGTTTTTTGGCAAATCAAGGACTGTTGGCCTTGATTTTTGGCAGACTCATACATATTCGAGCTGATCAAGAATTGTAATAACAAGGTGATATAGATGTTATGTTACATAATTCACTGAGTAGTTTCTAGGGTCTTGTCCGGAATCCTCAGTTGTACCTTAAGCTTTTCAATATAGAGGATGGAAGTCACAAGGAATCTACAGTTTCCCAGACAATTTTTGGTTTATCATACTGTTAATACATAGCTCCACAGCACTAAAGGGGCAAGTCTAATAAGAATTAGATGTTCTCTCAGTAGTTCCAACTTTAGTTATACTCAAAATTGCATCTAAACTTAATATTTTGCTGCAAAATTCATAATCCTCTGTTGTGGAATTTCGCTCCCGTTTTCGTATCCAAACCTCATATTTAATTGATACTGAGTAATTGACAACCTCTCTATCTTTTTATTTACTCCAAACCCCTACAGTTAATCTTGTGAAAAAAAAAAAAAAACTGTGGCAAAACCACGGCAGGCAGCCATTTAGTGTAGTTAGTCATCTATAAAAATGTTGAAATTGGAAGCAAGAGAAAAAAAAAAGAGTGAAACCGTGTTGCTTCCTGAATAATTTTCTAAAAAAAAAGCAAGGTTAGACCTATCGCTTCCAAAATGATCTCTCTCTGTCTCTCTGTCTCTCTGTCTCTCTCTCTCTCTCTCTCTTCTCTCTAATGCACTTCTAGAGCCGGAGCACACTGTATTTGAAAGGTGACGTGCTTTGTCTCCTCTCAAATGATGAGTATCTATATAATACATGTCACCGCTCGAGATATTTGTGTTTTTTTGCAAGTAACTTATGGTAAAAGTATAATTAAACTATGCATCTATATGCTTTTTATCTTGATAATTTGACCTGGAATCAAGTGTGTAACCGCTTTTAATATAAATCCATGCTTCAATCTGTGTCCTTTATTATTTTTGAGGAAAGAAATGGCGCGGACGCAAAGCAAGTAAAGAGAGAGAGAGTCGAATAGAGCTCAAAACATCACAATAATTCACCGACAACAATTTGAATTTGTCAAAGCTGATTAAAACTGAGCTTGCACTAGACTTGGATTTCTGCATGAGCAATAATTGTGATGGCCAAGCATGAAAAAGAAAAAAGGCAAATAACATTCCACGAACAGCAGCTAAAGGTGGAGAGAGAGAGAGAGAGAGAGAGAGAAAGGAGAAGAAAAAGTGGACATACCAGGAAGTTGCCATGGCTCGCAGGTGTGCAAATCGACTTCAACTAAGCTCCCCTTCAGCACCTCTTCATTGGCAACCTTTCTGTACAAATAATGGCACACCAGCTCTTCATCGCTCGGATAAAACCTGAACCCAGGAGGCAGCGTTGCCCCAATATCTCTCAGCCCCATTTCAAGAACCCAAACACAAAGCCTCAGCCCAACAACAAGAAAGAGGAACAGAGAGATCGTCTCTTCTCTTTAGGATTTGGCGGTGGATGAGGGGAGGAAAAGAACCCTGAACTTGATTCTTCTTTGCGACAACCTTTTCCAAGTGTTGGTGTCATGAAGAAAGCTGTTATCTGTGCGTGTTTATATATAGTTGCAGATGTGAGGAGCGACATTCCCGGACATTTCTTGGAAATATTATATCGGGTTAAGTCTCGTGTAGTTAGTTATGGTGGCAAGTTTTCGAAAGGAAAACCAAAGTGACAAGAAATCTTATTCCTTTTTCTTTTTAATTTAGCTTTGTGTGGTAGGGGACTAATTGCTTCTGCTGTGCATTTCTCTGGTTGAGATATAACGGCAATTAATGCTCCATATGTACAAAAGCCAAACCATTTTAAGCAATACCTTGACACGTGCAAAGTTTGGCCTGCACAGATTATCCTAAACGCATCCCGTGATAATCGTTCAATTGCTATTTCGTAAATACGGTCAATCGACTGAGCCGAATGCAAATGCGTCCGCAACATGTGTTTTAACACTAACACGAAGAAGCTTTGGTAGACATCCAATGAAAATTACATGTTTTAATGGGTTCTAGTTTCTCATCATCACGATTATCTCATATAAGGAGGAAGGTACATGACGTTAATATAATTGGAGCGTCGATCACTCCGTGCAAATTCATCATGTTCATGAATTAGTTTGGAGAGTATGTGAAGGAACGAATTGCTAAAAGACCCTCAACTCCTCCAATTACGATGTTATTCAATGATATGAGTTTCTCCAAAATGGGAAGTCCCGGATTCAAGAAAGAATTGAACACGAATTTCGTACTCAAATCAAGGGTGGTCTCGAGAATTATATAAGTTTGAAAGGGAAATAAGATGGAGCTGCAAGCTAGTAAAAAAAAAGAAAAGGAAAAAAGGGTTTGTTTTTTTTAAGAAGTGGATAAAAACAAATGTCTGCCGCCTCCCAAAACTAAGCCGTCCTTCGTGTAATGGCTAAGCACAATCCGACAACTTCCCGGTGAAGCCCTTCGGCTTCACATGTTTCATACTCGCATTGTTTTTCTGGATTGTTGAATCCTTATTCATCGCGATCTGCTAAGATTTTTATCACTCTTTTTGTTGTGTAGTCCAACGTTGGTAACGTAGAGGGAGGACAAGACAGCATGATTAACATTAAGAAAGCTTAAGACTGACATTGATTTGAAGTATAAAACAGTTGAGCACGAATGGACACTCGCTGTACACAGTGAAATCTCTAGTTTTTGAGGGGGTGTTTAAACTTTTATTTTATGTCTTGAACTTGTAGTGTAATTTTCAGCTTTTGTGGGGCTGCGAATCTCGCAGGAGACGGCGCCTTGAAAAGTTAGCAATCAAAGGTGAAAGAGTGCAAACTTCCGATGCCGGATTCGAATCTCATATATACTCTTGCAAATAGTATGTTTTAAAGTTCACAGTGATTTCATAGTCCTGATGTCATGACGGGCGGGTTATATGCTGGCCTTTCATTAGCCCCGAGCGAAAAGAACTCTAACTTCGACATCGCCACAATAAATTTGCAATTGAAGACCTATGTTAGATGGTTGTAACGCCAACTTATAAGATCAAAGGCAATTTAATCCCTGCATGAAAGTTTCATAACTCCATGCTGGCCGATCCAAGTCCCTTATCTTGCAATTGAGATGCTAACAAATTATGTGGCATTGGGCGAGAAATAATTTGGTGATGTGTTTTGTTGCTAAAAGACATCTTGACTATTAGATTGGGTACGACCCACATGAAACCCATATATAAGATTCATCAAATCAAACGGTCCGAATTCGTTTTATTAAATATAACATGCATATTTTCTTGACATTAAGATCTCACGCCCAAAAACTAGCTAATGAGACAGAGCTGAGATTTCAAGGCTCCATAAATCTCATCACATCAAAGACTCCTATCATAGATTTGACATCCAAGTCCCAGTACCTTATAATTGTAGAGATCGTTGCAATGGAGAAATCAATCTGAACGGACAAATTTGACTTGATGCGACATGCAATTGTAATTTGCTCTAACCTTTATTTTGATTTGACTCGAACGCAATCGACACTCGCCACGTCTTTTGCAAATGAAGGTTACGATATACTTTCTCGGTAATAAAATAAGTTTCATTGGCAATAGCGCTATTACAAAGTACTTTTTATAAATAACAATGGAACGAAAACTCTTCTAAAAATTAAATGAATGTAATTACCATAGTTAAAAAAAAATTATACGTGCTAGTGCTCAATTTATTAAGAGCGAGCATCAAAAGTCCAATATCTTCGCCTGTAAAGACTGCCATAAGGGAGCTCAAGTCTAAACCAGTCAATATATCCAATTTGATCCATCTTCACTCAAAAATTTAAATTAATGAGTTATGATCCAATTAGGATAGATATATTAACTGCTCCACATCACATCAATCCTCCGACGTGGGATTCTTTAACACAACTTCCACGTGTATCCTAACAATCTCTCCTTCACGCATAAGCTCAATGTTAGGTCCACTTCCCTTTAATCCAAGTATCATTATGCATCAAGATATCTATCTCATCTTGAATCTCCATCAACGCCCAACTTTGCCCAACTTCATCTCTAGTCTTTTTCTCCAGATCGACCAAGCTTGTGTTGCTACACCACACACCCATTGCCTAGAAACCACATTGGTCACCAACCATCGGCTCTGATATCATTTGTTGAGAGTGAACAGCAGAAGTTCGATACCTTCGCCTGGGGAGATCGCCAAGAGAGAGTTCAAGTTCACCCCCGTCAACATATTGAGTTGGACCCGCTTTCACTCAAAAACTTAAATTAATGAGTTATGAACCAATTATGATATATTAACAGCTCGGGAAAATTGTCCAAAAAGTCCTGAACCTAATTTAGTACTAAAATTTTTGTTAATTGTGTCCTAAGCATTTTCACATTTTGTCAATTGTGTACATTAGGCCGATTTTGGTTGAAAATCGCTGACGTGAATGTTGGTCATCCTATGTGGTAAGGCCAAACGGCCGGCACTAATATGACAATTTTAATAATTTTTTCAATTTTTTATTAATCTTTTTAATTTTCTTTTCTTCTCTTTTCCCTCGTTTTTTTTTTATTTGTTCGCTGCCCTTGCCGGCCGCCTCAAGGGTCACGACGCCCTAGCCCATGGCCGCCAGATCTTGAGCTTGTAGCTGCCATGGCCGCTCGAGCTCGAGCTCTAGGTTTGTGGTCATGGTGGCCGCGAATCGATGAGGCTGCCTCGCCCATGACTACCAAGCTCGACTCGCAGCCATGGTTGCTAGATCTCGATCTTGCAGCAGCCATGGCCGCTTGATCTCAAGCTCTAGCCACCAGATCTCGAGCTTGCAGTTGCCTTCTCTTTTCTTTTCTTTTCTTTTCTTTTTTTACTTGTCGTTGATGAGGGTCGTGATGCCCTCGCTCGGCCTCGTGGCCATGGGCGAGGCTACCTCGCCCTTGGCCGATAGATCTTAAGTTTGCAACTGCCACGGCCGCTTAAGCTCGAGCTCTAGGTTTGTGGTCATGGTGGTCGCAAACCGGTGAGGCTGCCTTGCCCATGACTACTTGAGGTTGACTCGCAGTCATGGTTCCTAGATCTCGAGCTTACAACTACCATGCCCGCTCGAGCTTGAGCTCTGAGTTCGTGGTAGTGGTAGTTGTGAACAAGTGAGACTGCCTTGCCCATGGCTGCTCGAGCTCAACTCGAGGCCATGGTTGCCAGAGATCGAACGGCCATGGTTGTGAACCCAAAGCTCGAGCTCGAGCTCGAGCTCGAGCGGCCATGGCAACTCCAAGCTCAAGATCTGGTAGCCATGGGCAAGGGCATCGCTTCCCTTGTCGACAACTGGTGAGGGCTTCACTGCCCTCGCTGGCCACAAGTACAAAAAAAAAAAGGAAAGAGGGAAAAGAGAAAAAAAAGAAATTAAAAAAGAAATAAACAAAATTGAAAAAAATATTAATTTTGTCATGTCAGCGCCGGTCGTCCGACCATGCCATATAGGACGGCTAGTGTCCACATAAGAGATTTCAATCAAAATCGATCGGATTGACTCAATTGACAAAATGTGAAAGTGTTCATGACTTAAATGGCAAAATTGAAAGGTTTAGGACTAAATTGGTGATAGTGCAATAGGTTTAGGACTTTTTATACGATTTTACCTTAACTGTTGCTCTGCACAACATCAATTCTCCGATGTGAGACTTCTATAATACAACTCACACGTGCATCCTAATAGTATTCTTCATTTATGCGATTCACTTATAAAGCAACAACATCTCAAAACTTTTATCCATCAAGAAAATCAAATTGGTAGAAACAAAGAAAAGCAACCATTCTTGTAGTTGTTGCTGGGTGATAAATGATTAGCGCGGAAGTAATAATCACACAATATTTTCTCCAAGAGAATTTATCATGACATACATTGATTGGTCCGGCCATCAAATGTCCCAAACACTATGCCGTCCTCAAGGCCACACGTGAACCTGCCTATTCAAATCCCAACTTGAGCTAAATCGAGAACATCCTTCCACTTGGAGAAATCAAATAAAGCAAAATCCCCACGAAAACTATCCCCTAAACAAATATAATTTATTAGATTGATCAAGCCATAAACATGATCTGTTCGATTATCTATCACGAAGGAGATATGTGGACCGAACATGATTGGCGGGGCGAACGATAAACTACTACTGTCTTAGATCAAAGGGTCCCTCAAATGATAGGACAACAACGTCGAGCACGTCACAAATCTTTTTAGCTTATATACTTGGGTTTTGGCCAATAATAATAATGTGCGTTCGGACAATGCAATTGGTACCCGTTTGTCGACATGTGTCGAGACGTCGATAATTAACAACTATGATTGCAGAAGCCGACAAGGGATGACTGTACGAAGGTGTCTCGGACAAGCAAAACGAATTCCGATCTCGATGTGGAAATAAAGTGAAGCTCAAGCTTCGGGTCGTGGATGATGTGACAACGAACGGAAAAACGAAAAGCTCTAGACATCATCATCCCTTCTCTTCTCTGAAATTATGCATGTGAACGGGGTTGAAAAATATCTGGAAGACCCTCCTCCATCGACCGAGCGCTGCGGTTTTAGGGTTCTGTCGCGATTGTGCAAGAATGAGGGTTGG